AGCTCACTTGGCATTCAAGGAAAATTGCTTAAATGGTTCCAAAGTTACCTAGAAAAAAGAGAGATACAAGTTGTCATTGAAGGAACAAAATCAACCTCACAACGCACAAACTGTGGAGTACCACAGGGCTCTATCTTAGGCCCTCTCCTCTTTCTGATATACACAAACGACATCATCGAAGGAATACAGTGTGACCCCCACTTGTTTGCGGATGACACCAGTATAATGACATTCATAAATCGAGCAAATGTGCATGAGAAAACAACAAAAATCAACGCAGACCTAGACATGCTAAACGAATGGGCACAAAAGTGGAAAATGCATTACAACCCCACTAAAACAGAGTACATGGTGATAACGTCATTACCTGTGACAACAAACGATCTGAATTTAACCTTATCCATAGGTGACAAAAGAATAAAAAAGGTAACATCACACACTCACCTTGGCTTGACCATTCAAGAAAACCTAAATTGGGAAAACCACATAAACAATCTGAGTGAGAAAACAAGAAGACAAATAGGAAACCTATGGAGACTCAGCGGACGTGTCCCTAGGCAACTTCAAGAAACATACTATAAAACCTACATCAGACCGATCATTGAGTACGCCTGCATCCTCTACGATAACTGTACTAACCAGCAAAGTCTTCGCATCGAGGGTATACAACGGCAAGCAGCACTAGCATGCACCAGGGCCTACGTGAGAACCGACACGGGTGAAATTCTTAAAGAGCTTGGATGGGACAAACTTGCTGAGCGACGAAAATATTACAAAATGATACTCGGATATAAAATAATGAATGAAAATCTACCCAAATATCTACTCGAAGTTAGCCCAAAAAGACCAAGTCGTCTGAACACTCGCCATTTTAACATGCAAACAATGTTAAGTAGAAGTGAAAAAGTGAAAAGGTCTACCCTATACAGTGTCGCTACCACGTGGAACTCTCTCGGAGAAGAGCTGAAAACAACAGACTCTGTTGGTCGTTTCAAAATTGACTACAAAAAAGCCTCTCTAAGCAAACCAAACAAGCTATTCTCACAAGGAAAAGGAAAACATCACATAAACCTCTCAAGAATAAGAATGGGACTCAGTGCCCTGAACAATCAGCGCATGATGTACCAGCTCATACCCGATGGTAGTTGTGACAATTGTCCCTCAAACAGGGAAGACGTAACACACTACTTCCTAAAATGTCCCCTATACGAACACCAACGGGTCATCCTACTCGAAGGAATCGATAGAATAATTGAACAATACCCTCCTAAAACCAGACATAACCTCAAATCTATTGCATCTAAGGTTCATTTGCTCATTCATGGTAGCCCCTTGTTAACCCCAACATCAAACCAAAATATCCTAATGCTTTGTCAAAACTACATAAAAAACACTGGACGTTTTCCATGATAATCGTCAAACACACTTACTAATTTAAACTTCAATTATTATAGTATATTCCAACATCTCTAATTATAATGTAAATAATAAAGAGAGGAGAGCCCCTCGATAAGCGAAATGCTTCTGGGCAATCCTCTTAAAATAAATACATTTTAAACAAAAAAAAAAAAATATCAAGATGATTAATTGAATATTCTAGGAATTATACATAGTATCTCCTTTATATGATTTTTTAATAAATTATTTCTGTTACCAGTGTTCGCGTTGATGCTGTTTTTTGCCATTTTTACGGAAATTTCAGAAGGTTGGACATAAAAATCAAAATCAACTTACGTCCCTAGGACGCAAAAATTATAAACTGCTTCAAGATAACTTTTCCTGCAGCACAGTAGCGGTGAAACATGATTTTCATCAAGATTTTCAAACTCACTACCTTGATATACGAGCAATGATCCAGGTATATTTATATCGACAAATCTGATTGGCTATCATGACTACCGAAGATTAACAGAGTTTCCAGTATGAGACATGGATTTTTATTGGTTCCTATATATTCCGGAAAATGCCGCAATCGAAATGGAAGATCAGAACATACAATATTGCAGAAATCCCCTGTGGTTCCCCACAAATTGAAACAATTGTTTTTCACCATTATCTTTATTATTTCCACTAGAAACCATTATATATTGATCTAATGTTATACATCAAGATAATTGTTTAATGATAGATCGAGGTTTTTCATCTAAAAGTCTTCAGAATAAGGAGGAATGTTAATAAAAAGAAGCAAAAGTTCACGACCTTGACATGACCTTCAAGATCGCAAGTTTGTAAAATGTGAAAACAGAACTCTTCATTTGAGCATTTCCTTTATTCATTTCGGACTATTTTGGTATAACATTACTTAAAAATTGTGTGAAAAGGACCCAGTGATAGATATTTATCGGGAGGATGCATCAAATTACAATTTATGTCATCTTTATCCCATTTTAGTGTAAGCACTCTATTATCGCCCACTTTATTTTCACTTTCACAATATTTTCTTGAACTCTGTGAAGAAATAAGAGGGACGCAAAAAAATTAGATGGGGACTCAAATTTTTCAAATGGGTTGCGTCCCTGGGACTCAGAAATTTTAATGGCTAGCGCGAACACTGTGTTACCATAGCTACCAAGTGTTAAACATTAATGAAACTTGTCATAGTGGTAGTGCATTATAAGTAGATGATTACCTGTAAATATCAAGATGAATGGCTGTATATTCTAGGAATTATAGATGGCTTTCATTGTACCCCCCTTAAAATCATACCAATGGGGTATAAATCTGTTTACCATAGTAACCAGTAATCCAACACTGATGAAATTTTCAATGATAGTCAAACATAATGATGTAAATAATATCTGTTAATTTCAGGACAAATGGTTACTTATTTTCTTCAAAAAGTTGAACACAAATAAAGAATTCTTTGGAAAAGTGCCACGTCCCCTTTCTAAATTTCCTTGCATTGCCATATAATCATCAGCAATAGATTCCACTGTGTGGATAAGATAAAACAGCAGTTGATTTAATATTATCAAATATACTTTGAATAATTTTTCTAAAATGGTTTCATGGTGATTCCTTCCAATTTCATGAAAATAATATGTGTTTTGTCTCATGGGGTATCTTACATTTTTACGACAATGTGTACTTTTTAACATATGATCTCCATTTCCATAGCAACCAGTTGATCAACTTTAATGAAACTTGTCATAATGGTAGGACATGATAAGTACATGATTACCTGGAAAAATCAAGATGATTGGCTCTATATTCTAGGAATGATATATGGCTTTCCAAGTACCCCCCTTAAATTACACCAGGGGGGTATAAATCGAAATATTTCCAAAATGCTGAAAAACTAGACACCAATGATTTCAGAATCAATGTATAATAATAAACCACAAATAACCTATATGAAGAGAAATTTGCTACTTTTCAAAACCACTTTTACACCACTTTCATCCAGTATTATGCTATGTTTGTGGCAGATAAGAGATGCCCATTGGCTGAAATTTAAAGTTTCAGTTATTCTAATGAGCATATTTACAAAAATGAATTATCTCATTTCACAAAAACTAAACAATATTTTAGGAATTTGATTGGAAATTTATAGTCATAACAGATTCATGAGCCACTGTAACAGAAAAGAGCTTGTAACTCATCATAATAATCTTGCTATAGCAGAAAGTTTGAAAAAATCCTCATTTTGTTTGAACTGGACATTTAAACTGCCATATTTGGCTGTTGTGGGCTGTTCCATCCGTCTTTAAGTAGATCTCCTTTGTCCCTAGGTAGCAGCACATTAAATTTGAACCAATCCGTTCACTGGAAAAAGTTTTTTTACAAAAATGGCAGCCATTTTGAAATTCAGCTGCCATCTTGAAAATACTTTCTCGAACAGGGCTACTATGTCTCTAGGCATCAGCATATAAAATTTGAACCAAATCCGTTAACTGGTATCTGAGTTATGAAAAGTTACATTTTTTGGTGTAAAAGTGGCGGCCATTTTGAAATTCAGATGCCATCTTGAAAATTGATTCTCGAACAGAGCAACATTGTCCCTTGGGCTTCAGCAAATAAAATTTGAACTAAATCCATTTACTGGCTTTTGAATTATCAAATATGGCGGCCACCATCTTAAAGATTTTTCTCGAACAGAGTAACTATGTCCCTAGGCATCAGCATATAAAATTTGGATGAAAGATTACGTTTTTTTGCGAAAAATGGTGGCCATTTTGAAAATCAGCAGCCATCTTTAAAGTCTCTTCTTGAATAAAAGCTCCTTTGTTCCTAGGCATCAGCATATAAAATTGGAACCAAATCCGTCCACTAGTAATTGAGTTATCATATATTACATTTTTACGAAAAATGGCGGCCATTTGAATTGAGCGGCCATATTGAAAATTCCTTCTCCGTATATATACGGTCCTAATTTACGTAATTATCCTGGAAGATAGACCCAGAAGTCCCTCCTTGAAGGAACTCTGTGTTCTTTTATGTGCACTTATACATAGACATACAAGTACACTCAGTCAAACACCCTGAAGTACTTTACGCAAACAAGCAAATTAAGTCTTGCCTGAACCGGGGTTCGAATCCGGGACCTATTGCGTAGGAGGTACACGCTCTACCGCTGAGCTATACGGGTGGACTTATTTGAATTTATTATAGGTTTTAACCCATATTAATATTAAAGTCATCTTTGGTAAGTTTAAAATCCAGTATTATATTAATTATAGGAAATACCCATATTAATATTCAAGTCATGATTGGTAAAATAAAAACCCTCATTATATAAAAAAGCAGGTTCCTCAGGCTTGTGACTGGGCATAGTTGGGTTTAACGTTTTAGTCCATGGAAACACTCCCCTTCCCTGCATGGATTCAATAAATAAGACAGACAGACGGACGGACAGTGGGATAATTATTATAAAACTGCTACTACAAACTCTGGCTAAGAATTCTAAATATCAACCAAATTCATATTGAAGTTTGCATTGTGATGTAACAACATTTAACCAACAAAAATGGTCACATGCTACAAAAACAAGACAGATTTACCTCAATTTCATCTTTATGGAAGAGTTTCTGGCATAAGGGACATGTCTGGTCATTTTTCTGGCCTTCACAGTGGCTGGCATGGTCGTTTATAACACTTACACCAAACATCTGGTCACACATTGGGCATTTGCTCAGAGGATCTGGTGGTGCAATCTGAAAAATTCAACTTAAAGGGTTACGTAAAGCTTCCCTTATAAAAACATGGCAGCTCCAGATGAGTCTAATGGGGTTAGTCTATTCTTTAAGAAATTAGGGGAGTTTAGGTAAATTTCAGTTTATTGAAATCCTCTTCCTGAAAATAAAATAACAAAAAGTACACAATCTGTAAATATTGAGAGGGAGGATGCATGAGCCAATATAATATAATATCCTGTAACATCGACACCATTTTGGGGTAACTTTGACATGTGGGGTAACTTAGACACCTTCTTGTTTATTTGCTCTAATTTCTGTTCTAGGGGGAAGCCATGTTTTTTTTTCTCGCATGGATCGAGATCTCGCGAGATTTTAATTTTTCCAGAAATCAAACATGGCGGAAAACGGAAGTTCTACTTCTAATACGTAAGTGTCGAAGTTACCCCGTCTATTATGTCGACATTACACCACACATCGACATTACACCCCTTTGCCCTAGTCCAAACTATTTAGTTTAATTTGCAGGACAAGATATCAATTTTTCCCATTAAACACAAAAATAGAAGATCCTGAAACTTTACCAATATAAGGTGAAATTGATTTGTCAAAAAAAGTAACTATTACTAAAAGTTACTATTACTACATAAGCAGGCAGAGGTCATTACACATTGACCTCTACCTGTGTATCCTTGAGTATTTTTCTGAGATTGTGTCCTTTATAAAGTAAGCAACAACGACAATGAGCGTTTGATTTACTAAACTTTATGCATGACCCTTTAAGCCCAATCCATATACATATATACATGAGCCAAAAAGCAGCAAGGGACTCACCTAAACAAAGCTTGAACATGACAATATGTCACCACCTGTTAAGTTATTGCAGATAGCTAGATGAGTGAAACCAGAACAACAGCAACGCCAAAGCGTAGCGAATCCCATCGAACATTTTTCAAAACGGGCACCTTCTACCAAAAGTGTCATTAGACAGTGTGCCATGCTTATAATATTCACATACCAAATATGAACAAAATCGCTCCACTACTTTTCGAGTTATAGTAAGAAACGTTAAAATGCGGCCATTTTGAAAAATGGCCGCCTTCTACCAAAAGTGTCATTAGACAGTGTGCCATGCTGATACGTATTCACGTACCAAATATGAACAAAATCGCTCCACTACTTTTTGAATTATAGTAAAATAAGTTAAAATGGCAGCCATTTTTCAAAATGTCCACCATTTTTCAAAATGGCCGCCTTCTACCAAAAGTGTCATTAGACAGTGTGCCATGCTTACAGTATTCACATACCGAATATGAAAAAATCGCTCCACTACTTTTCGAGTTATAGTAAAATACGTTAAAATGGCGGCCATTTTGAAAAATGACCGCCCTCTACCAAAAGTGTCATTAGACAGTGTGCCATGCTTATACGTATTCACATACCAAATATGAACAAAATCGCTCCACTACTTTTCGAGTTTTAGTAAAATAAGTTAAAATGGCCGCCATTTTTCAAAATGTCCGCCATTTTTCAAAATGGCCGCCTTCTACCAAAAGTGTCATTAGACAGTGTGCCATGCCTATAGTATTCACATACCAAATATGAACAAAATCGCTCAACTACTTTTCGAGTTACAGCAAAAATCGTAAAATAACAAGTAAAGGCCGCCATTTTTCAAGATGGCTGCCATGTGCTTTTTTAATATCTACATTTCTAGCTTTATTAATGTCCTATATAATTTTTTTACATTTAAAACATATTGCTATTACAGTTTTACATATTGCACCTAAATTACTGTAAAATCGGCACTAAAATGGCCGCCATTTTTAAATGAGTGGCCATTTTGAAAATCGGCTTTCGAGCGAAATTCTACCCCCATAGGGTATATGTGTACAAAATATGAATAAAATCGGGCCAACGGTATTTGAGTTATTGCCCGGACGGACGGACGTACGTACGTACAGACGTACGTATGGACGGACGGAGGCGTTCCCTATATCCCTCCGAACTTCGTTCGATGGGATAACAATTTCTGACACCGACTGCCAAATGTCACAAAATGGTGGTGACATAAAAACTATGTTCTTAATGTTTTCCTTCAAATGATTTAAGACTTGTCCAGTGACACATGAATCTATACTTTGTTTTTAAAATTATCTTTAAGCTAAAACAATTAATAAAATCCATTTACATTAAACTATTGGTTGGAACTGAAAATACTTACTGTAACAATTCTCATTCCAGGTAAAACAGATGTCATTTTACCATTTACAATAAAAGCAATTGGGTTTTGTGGAGCACTCCTTGGTTGTATTTCTACAGGAGGCTGAGTCGCACCCACCGATTGTTCACTAATATCCAACACTTGGATTTTCCTCTGAGGTGCATTGTCTCTATTACGTTTTACCTTCTTTTTAACAATCTCAAAATGATCACTAGAATCACTGTCAGACGAATTGTTTAAAATATCCTCAGCATTTACTACTTTTGATTTTACTTTTACATTTTCAGCAGCCCCAATGTTTCTAGTCAATCTTTTACACAGAGGTCTGGATGTGTCAGAAGCATCTGATGTAGTGCCATCCTTGGCTTCTTCTTCAATTCTCATCAGAAAATCTTTGGCAGATTTTCCCCTAATTTCACTAATAGAGCTTTTCTCAGAAAACAAAACAGGGAACACTTTCTCTATATTAGAGTTGATTCCTAGATTGAAGCTCTTATTCTGGCTAGATTCAGAAAAGAGCTCAGTTTCATCTGGACCCTGATCCATTTGGACCTCAGCTTGTTGACTGTAAGGTTTAGCCCTTTGTGGTTCAGCAGTGTTCTTTTCCTCAATCTCACCATCACTGTCAGAGTCGTCAACGTTCACCTCATCTACTTCATCACAATGTTGAACCTTCACTAATGGACTCTTCTGAATGTCTGATACAATGTGAGATTTCTTTGCATTTGGGGAGCAATACTTTGTGATTTTTTCATCCTGTGTAGTGTTACTGGTTTCAGATTTAGAAGCTGGTTTATGCTTTTTCCCTGGAAGTTTCTTATTTCTGTAAGTAGTTGGGACAAAGTCTTCATCTGACTCAATATCAGGCAGTTGATCGTTGAAGAGTATATGTTGAGTTGGCTGGGTGTGTTTCTTTATATTACGACCGCTGCGTCTTATTGGTTGAAATCCAGAGCCCACTTTCCAGTGAGTCCTAGCAACAGGTGAAGAATGAGATTGTTCTTGTTCAAATGGATCAGAGTCAAATAATCTGGAGACTTTGGTATCATTGTCAGCAGTTCTCAGGTCTAGAGTATTTGCCATATGAGGTCCAACTTCAACAGGGCTACCAAATGGTACTTTTTCAAATACATTTGATTGGAAGTCACGAAGTAGAACACGATATTGTTGAAAGTACTGTTGTATGTGGTCACTGTAGGTATTGGGGTCTATGTCTTCTGGGGCAAACATTGCTGTCCTTGTTAGTTTGTACTTGCGATTCAACCTCCTGAAATAAAAACATCTTTAGGTTGACTTAACCTGTTGCACTCTTGAAAAACAAGTCCCATGCATTCACAACATAAATATCATCACTTGGTAAGTTATAGCAAATTGTTAAATAAAATAGTACCATGGGTACTGCACTCAAATGGGAAGGTTTCAATGTTTTTCATGTTTGACAGTAGGAGCTTAGAATAATTTAAGTTTTTGCACGTTATTAAAGGATGAAAATAATTTTGTAAAAGTATTTGGTTAGCTGAAATGAAAAACATGGGTATATTAGCTTGGATCAATATATACCATTTTTCATAATGAAGTTGGAACAGAGGAATTTCACAAGCACACTAAAAGGTAGCTTTAAACATGATTTTTCTGCAATGAAAGTGGCTGCCATTTTGATATTTGCAACATATTTTGCCTAAACTTGTAAACAAAGTATTGCTAACCTATAAATTAAGGTACCTGTACAATTTCAAACAAACTGATGATGAAATAATTGTGAATTTATGATAAAAAAAGCTGAAAACCTGATTTTTCTAAAATAAAATTGGTAGCCATTTTGAAGCTTTGCGACATATTTTGCTGAGGCTTGTAGACATAATTGAGAACTTAAGGTACCTGTACAATTTTAAGCAAATTGATGGAATACTTGTGAAGTTATCATGAAAATAGAGCTAAAAGCCTGATATTTCTGCAATGAGAATAACTGCCATTTTGAATCTTTGCGACATTGTTGCCTGTTTAATTTCAAGCAAGTTAATGGAATACTTATGGAGTTATGACCAAAGACAAGCTGAAAACCTGATATTTCCGCAACAAAAATGGTAGCCATTTTGAATCTTTGAGACTTGTTTTGCCGAAACTTGTAGGCCATATTGATAACCTATAAACCGTATCAATATGGCGAACTTTTTGAACACATGTTTCTCACCAGTCATCAAAAAAAACATGATGAAATAACCTTTTTAGCCCTTTGAAAGTGTGACTGAAAAAAAGCTAAAAGTAGGAGCTAGGGAAGGTCACTGAACAGAATTTTTTGAATTTTTCAGAAAATGTGCCTACTACAATATTGTATAATGCTCTAACTGATACAATCTTTGAAATTTTAGAAAATTGTCTTAAACAAAAATGGCGGTCATAAAAAGGAAAATAGATCACATTTCAAATCAGTTTTTTCAATTTTTTCTTTTTCTATGAATGATATCAAATTTTCAAACCTACTTTTCCTACCTCCTTCTTTTAGCTATTTTTCAGTCACATGTTCAGAGGGCTGAAAAGGTTATTTCATCATGTTTAGAGTCATTCCAACCATGAATATTGTGATCCTGGACCTGTAAATGGTATTTGGAACTAGTTGAATTGACTGGAGGTCAAAACAGAACTCTGTTATCTTTGTTCAAAAATGTCTAAAAATGCAAAAAAATTTGTCACTTCCTGTTTTGTCATTTCCTGTTTTCCATAGCACCTTAATGGTCATCTTTTGAATGGTAACAATATAATTGGAAAAATATATATACTTTCATCTATATTGTTTTAGAAAACACATCAAACACTTGTTTTGTTCTTGGTATCATGTTTCCAGAGTGAAATGAAACATCTTTCCGAACCTCATTGGAACAAAACGACATAAACACAACATGTTTAGGTCTCTCAATATTGTAATTGTACAAAGGAAATTTTGGTTGATTTTAAAAAAGTATCTTGTTAATGAAATAAAAGGGTAATCTTGATTTTTATCTATTTTGGGGGGATTTTGTGGGCGTTTGTAAAACACGAAACGAAACCAAAACGAAACGAAACCATAACGAAACGAAACCACTAATTAAATTATAAAGGTACGAAATCACCGGAATTGCTCTGTTAAACTTGCTAATTAAATCAGATACACATTCTAGAAAGACAGTAAGGATAAAAATAATTACCCAAATATGTGTCTAACTAACTAGCTTCACTATAATCGGGAGACTGTGGTATAAAGTACTAAAAACCTTTCCCAACTGACCACATAAAAATTTAAAAAATATATTTCGTTACAATATACAAAGTACGATTAATAGGTTTTTATTGAAATAGTTGTTATTTAAAGATCTAATAGAAAGGTTTTGCAAAAAATGAATCAATGTAGTATAAAACAAATGTAAATATAATGAAGAAATAAATATATAATGAAAAAAATAGATATGTGTTTGTAATATTGGTATTAACGTAAGATTAAGAAGTGTCACTATCTCTTTCATTTTTCAACAAATATAGGCTCACGTGACATGTGACGCGGGGCAGGCAATTTTGATTTATCGTAGACCTTATCAGTATCAAATTGCCAATATTTCAACCTTGTCTTGCGAGGCCATTTTGATTTGAAACATCTTGAATTTGGTGTCAAAATAAAGCTGGTCACGCCCACTTTCGGAGTTATCAATGAATTATTTACTACGACTACTATATTCATTTAGGAGGCATGTAAAGTTAACCAATCAGAAAGACAATTGTTCCATATATGGCAGCCCATTAACATATTCAGTGTTTACTACTGCTTTTCGCGTCATGACAACACGAGTAGTAACCAATCAAGATGCCGTATTTTATCACGCCAGTTCAGAGTGACATGCACACGGCATGTAGTCTGAGCTGATCGCGATGTTGAACTAATTTCTTCTCAGGATTTGTCCAGAGAAATCAGCGATTCTAAATTAAGGTAGGATCTGCCATTTATTCCTGTACAAGTTATAACTAATCTCTATCGCATCCTAAAGTTTTGGCTGCAGATATGAAGCATACGTTTTAAAACGAAGCGATTAATTTGACGATCTGATTTTGCAATTTGCAATGGCCAATTTACTGCAAGTCTGCGTGCATTTGACAAGAGATAGCGCCAAGTCTTGTATCTAAATGCTTGTTAAGCCACTATAAAACAAGATCCATGTTTTCTAAATTTGACAATTTTGCAGAAAACCTGTTTTCATAACCTGTTTTCCGCGTCTAAATTCAAACTGAGTAGGATAATAGGATCGCTGGGATCCTCAGTCAACAACGGATCTTCATTCCAGAACTCACATTTTTAGTTGATTCTCCGTCATAGTACTTGTCTAAAGTCCCCATATCTGCTCTCTTACTGGCATACTTGGACACATTTCCCCTCCTTAAAGTGCCCGATAAAGTATAAAATGCGCATGCGTCCAGGTGTTGATAAACTATAAATAGCGAAAACCCAGGGTTTGTCACCACAAGGTAAGCCAGGACGTGTTGAGAGAACAGCTAGTGTTGATATTGAATTTAGATGTAGCCAGATAAGTTTCCTTATTGAAATTACATATGGTTATTAGCAATACTTTGTAGGTGCTAAATAAAAAATATTTAGAGTATATATGAGAGAAATTGGTCATTTCGAACCTGTTGAAAAGTTTGTGGCTCTCGGCTACACCGGGGAATTTACTTCCATGAGTACACACATAAATGTGGGGTTCCCCAAGAGGTACGCGACAAGGTGACCTGGCATCAAATGTGCGATTAAATGCTACTATCGAGAAGATAAAATAACGAATACGACAATAAGTTATTGCATGTTCCGAGCCTTCATCTCACTGAAGTATTTTGAAGTGAAAATAGGATTTTTGTTTTGATACATGGATTCAGATGAACGTAACTTTATTCTGACAACTAATCAAAACTGAACAAAATTGATTGTACGTAACAGACAATTTATTGTTTTACAATGTTTTGATTGGCTAAACGAATGAAACCAACAAATTATGACATGTAAAATGACAATTTTGAAATGTAAAATTTAAAAGTGACAAAAACAAACTCCCTATCCACTCTTTGGGAGCCCTAGTAAATTAGTAATATGTACATGCAGCAGTGGTAGTGTGCAGCTTATTATCACACTACGCTTTGTATTCTAAAGCCTGTTGTTTGTAATAACACTGTTCACTCAACGTATGTTTTGTGTGTGGGCAGTCAACGATAATCATTGTTTTATCCCGGTTATATAACCTCGGCAATTATAACAAAACCGTACTAAACGAAAAAAACGCAAATAAGAGAAAGCTTTCACACACATATAAAAAATGAACTAGTCTAATCCGCCAGTATAAACTCTGTGCTATACGTAGCCGGGTCAGGCGCACACTTTAAATATTGTCCTCAGTCAAATTACACCCTCTTGCCGATTTATATAGCCATTTCCCAGAACGGTCGGGAACCAGAATCGCTGATGTTTGCCATATTGACCATGTTGAAATATGTACTGTAATATCTGTAATACTGGACATTGCCTGCTACGCGTAATGGTCACGTGACTAGCGCGATACAGGAAAAATGGGGAATTTCAAAACAACAATTTTTGGGCACTTTTATTGCAAATTTCAGGTATTTATAAGTGTTTGTGGTATAAAATATAATCCACAGACATAAATGAACATCCAAACTACATATTTTATTAAGTTTTAGAGCCTTTTTTGCTCTTAAATTAACATCTTTAAATGAAGTAGGCCTAGACACCATTACCTGATATCAGAATACATCACAAGTCGCCAATTACAATATCCACTAATGTACATGTATATATCCAAATTAAGGTTTCTCTGTAATAAATCCAAACTATCCTACGAATATTGATTTATATGATTAAATCTACTGGTTTCAACAGAAATTCTTGACTCTTATATATATCTTTACCATCGAACTTTCAAATCTAGACTAACGATCTCACATACATCCGTGAAAACGTCGAAAAATTGTTCAAAAACTGTCTCGTTGCTAATAGAGACCATCTAGACAACACTAACTTCAAAGTGTGCATAAATTAACTAGCTGTCAATCAAACTTGGGACAAGATGCGCTAAGCCAAATAGCCGTAAAAATTGCACAAATCTACTAAAAATACGGCTTTTCAACTCAGGATATCTCTGCACATATAAGACTAATTTAAACGATATAAACACTGTTAAAAAGCTTGATTCAATCTTGTTTAAAGAAATAATTCCCAGAATTTATAACCGTATAGTTTTCTCTGCACAAGACGAAACAGAAACCCAGTAAACTGAAAACTATAACTAATAGCGGCCGGTAAAACAATAAACTCGCCAATTTACACTGCTGATTAAATTCACTCTAACTCAATAATTATAACTCCGATTTCCATGAAATAAAAACTGTTAAAAACGAGAAAGAATTCCTCTTTTTAACCATATATAGGCCTAAATCATTATTTGTTTTACTTGATTAGTACACGAAAATTATGTTTTAAGTTAAGCAATAAAAATGCGCTACCGTCACAATATGTTTGAAAACATTTTCGAATAATATAATTAAACAGTACCGATCAATTTAGAACAAAATTAAACGTTTCCCATACGTTTCTCGCCCTTGCAAAATATAAAAACATCGCTCTTTTCATGGACTTCTAACGAAACTTATTTCCTTATAAATATACCAGGATTGGAAACAGGACTCAGCAAGCGCTTTGGCAGAAGGTCACGTTATCAACTCTAAATAATGAGGCATCATTGGTTAACTCTTAGACATGTTAGAAAACATGTGCTTGTGATTGATCATGTGATCATATCATGCTATTTGATTGGACATTCTTTCGACTGATGTTCATAATTCTGATTACATCATCCATTGCCAAAACTCATTAGAACATTATTTTTGGATATCATTTCAAGTTTGTGAGGTCAATGATTTTAATTTTGTCTTAAATAAAATCATTGAATAATTTATTAATATGGATGTCCAAGATGGCTGCCAAAATAAAAAATTAATGTAACCAGAACAACGGCAACGCCAAAGCGTAGCGAATCCCATCGAACAGAAATGGCTGGCATTTTTATAAACGAAGCGCAAATATCATAAAACAACACACCAGAAAGGCCACCATTTTCAAAATGGTTGCTCACTAGCCAAGTTGTCATCAGAAGAAATAATATGCTTTTAAATAGCCACCTCTAAAATTTTTGAAAAATCGCACACGTACTTGTAAAATAACACACATAAAAATGGTGGCCATTTTTCAAAATGGCCGACTACTCCCCAAAGTTTTATTAGACAATGTGCCATGCTTAAAGTATTCACATATCAAATATGAACAAAATCGCTCCACTACTTTTCGAGTTATAGTAAAATACGTTAAAATGGCGGCCATTTTTCAAAATGGCCACCTTCTACCAAAAGCGTCATTAGAGACAGTGTGCCATGCTTATACGAGGGTTGATCCAAAAGTTCCGAACCGTTTGCTCTAAAAATCTTAATATTTTATGAACATAAAATATTGTTCACATTTGGCCACAACCACCCCATACATAGTAGTTTCATTTTGTGTAAAAATAAACAATAAATCTGACCAGCAACATAGCTGTTTGGTTACCATAGCAACATGACAACAGGGTAGGTGGAGTTAGAATAAATTTAACTTTATTCCGAATAATAGCAATTGAAGAGCTATTTCAGATCACTTCAATTCGTGGAGTTTCACCCCCATAAAATCTCCTACAATAGGTAATATCGTTTATAAATTCATTCACCTTCAAAATAGTCACCACCATGTGCTACACATTTCTTACAGCGTTTCAATAACTCCTGAAACACATGGTGAGGTTCACCTTTAGCTGTAACATAAACGCTATTTGTAAATGCCTGGATAAGGTCAGCTTTGTCATCGAAATGGATACCATACAGTGGTTTCTTGGCCTCATGAAACATATGAAAGTCACTTGGTGCCATATCAGGAGAATATGGCGGATGGGGCTGTAGTTGGGCCTGCAAGCACTCGTGTAAGCCTCTATTGTAACATTGGCTGTGTGGGCTTGGGCATTATCAGGGAGAAAGTAAAAGTTCCCATGGAGATCTGGTCGTTTTTTCTCATAGCATCTTTATAATCTTTCTTCAGTATATGGAAAACATTTTTAAATTTAGTAAGTGTCATACCTAATTGATTGACTCAAAATAGATCATAAAGTAATCTAGTTTACAACTTTATAAATGAGTGATAAGATTTTGTAACTGACCTTTTAATAATAAGCTCCATTGATAGTAAACTAGGATAACCGTGTGGTACTCTTGCTCCACCTACCCTGTTGTCATGTTGCTATGGCAACCAGACACCTATGTTGCTGGTCAACGTTATTGCTTATTTTTACACAAAATGAAACTACTATATATGGGTTGGTTGTGGCCAAATATGAACAATATTCATAAAGTATTACGATTTTTAGAGCAAACGGTTCGGAACTTTTGGATCAACCCTCGTATTATTCACATACCAAATATGAAAAAATCGCTACACTACTTTTCGAGTAATAGTGAAATATGTTAAAATGGCGGCCATTTTTCAAAATTGTTTTCATAATGGCCGCCTTCTACCAAAAGTGTCATAGGACAGAGTGCCATGCTTATAGTATTCACATACCAAATATGAACAAAATCGCTCCACTACTTTTCGAGTTATCGTAAAATACGTTAAAATGGCGGCCATTTTGAAAAATGGCCGCCTTCTACCAAAAGTGTCTTTAGACAATGTGCAATGCTCATAGTATTCACATACCAAATATGAACAAAATCGCTCCACTATTTTTTGAGTTATAGCAACAAGGCACAGACGTGAACAATATCGTACCTAAAACACAGCAGTGTGAAAGTGAAGATTTTAGGACGGAATATCCAAAATGGCCACCTTAAAATTTACCCAGAATGCCCAAAAACTAATCAGTTGTTAACTTTGATATGTAGAAACATCCCTGTAAATTTCAAATGAATCCGTCAAATGGTTTGGCTGGAAACCTGTAGACAAGTCTTGAAGGTGAAGATTTTAGGACGGAAAATCCAAAATGGCCACCTTAAAATTTACCCAGAATGCCCAAAAACTAATCAGTTGTTAACTTTGATATGTAGAAACATCCCCGTAAATTTCAGATGAATCCGTCAAATGGTTTGGCTGGAAACCTGTAGACAAGTCTTGAAAGTGAAGATTTGAGGACGGAAAATCCAAAATGGCCACCTTAAATTTTACCCAGAATGCCAAAAAACTAATCAGTTCTTAACTTTAATACGTAGAAACATCCCTGAAAATTTCAGATGAATCCGTCAAATGGTTTGGCTGGAAACCTGTAGACAAGTCTTGAAGGTGAAGATTTTAGGACGGAAAATCCAAAATGGCCAACTTAAAATTTACCCAGAATGCCCAAAAACTAATCAGTTCTTAACTTTGATACGTAGAAACATTCCTGAAAATTTCAGGTGAATCTGTCAAATGGTTTGGCTGGAAACCTGTAGACAAGCTGAAAAGTGAGACGCCGCCCGCCCATCCGTCAAGCTGACGACAATATCGTACCTTTATTAGGTACGATAAAAATCGTAAAATGACGAGTAAAGGCCGCCATTTTTCAAGATGGCTGCCATGTGCTTCTTTAATATCTACATTTGTAGCATTATTAATGTCCTTTATAATTTTTTTACTTTTAAAACATATTGCTATTACAGTTTTACATATTGCACCTAAATTACTGTAAAATCGTCAATAAAATGGCCGCCATTTTGAAATGAGCGGCCATTTTGAAAATCGGCTTTTGAGCAGAATTTCTACTCACATAGGGTATATGTGTACAAAATATAAACAAAAACGGGCCAACGGTATTTGAGTTATTGCCCGGACGGACGGGCGGACGGACGGACGGACGTACGTACGGACGGAGGCGTTCCCTATATCCCTCCGAACTTCGTTCGATGGGATAACTATTGATTTAAGCACACGGATCACTAAGAACCATAATTTTTGAAACAATGATGTTCTCATCACCTTTTGATTGAATAGTCTCGTAGTTTTTGGACTGCTCTCATTTGTACTGCCTTTTTAAGTTTTACATGTGTGTGAGACTTCTTCTGATGTCTAGCCTAGCTGCAGAGTATATGCTTATTAGTTATACACTCTTGATTCTGATGATTTATTTCTAGATGGTCTTTTTTGTGCATAGGCACTGGTACTAGCCCCCTTGCTTATGCTTTTGTCTGCTTTTTCTGAGTTTCCGCATCCTTTTCATGTCTTCCACACTTTGCATGATAGATAATTCTTGGAAGTTCAATGTATTTCAGCTCTTGAGCAATATCGAGAATAGGATCATGATTTTACACTTTAGTTGTTTCAATTAAAGTTATCTAATGATTTTGAAGTCTGACTAACTAATGATTTTGAAAACTGACTAATTCACTTGTGTTTGGGGAAAATTACATATTCACATTTTGGTAGCTATCTTGAATGTCCAAATATAGGAATTATTTGTAGTTTTGAACATAATTGAAATCTTTGAACCCTGAAATCTTGACATGGTCTCCAAAATCACTGTTCTTAACTGTTCTTTGAGTTTAAATGAACAGTTACTTATTCGTTTTGGCACCCATTTTGGCAGCCATATTGGATTTCTATGAAAAGAAATTATTTAATGACTCAGATTTAGACATAAATAAAATCCTTGACCCTTAAAACCTCAACAATTTCTCCAAAATCACTGTTCTCTGAGCTTAAATCAAAAGTTAGGTATTCATTTTTGCAAATATTTTGGCAGCCATCTTAAATTCTGTAATTGTTTGATGACTTAGATTTATAACATAAATGAAATCCTTGACCCATCAAACCTAGGCATGGTCTCCAAAATGACTTTCTTTTAAAATCACCATTGTTACATAACTGTTCTTTGAGCTTAAAACAATGGTTACATATTTGTTTTGGCACTCATTTTGGCGGCCATCGTGGATTTTTATGAAAAGTAAATATATGATGACTCAGATTTAGACATAAATGAAATCCTTAACCCTTAAAACCTAAACATGGGGTCCAAATTCACTATTTTATTTGTTATCAAATAATTTACCTTTTGTTGATCATTTTTTTCACCTTGCATGGAGAGTGTCCAACTTTCCCCAGGGAAATAAGTTCTTCATTGAGAGCCTCTGACTAGAAAAAGAGAGGTGCTAGCATTAACAGTGTTCTTTTAACAAGGGAGTCAGGGATTTCACTATACTACCAGCAGGAGACACTAATTTTCTCTAAATGTTTTTACTAAAGTTAGTTAAGTTGTTGTTTTGAGGAACTATCTGTTTCAATTTCCAATAATTTTCACTGTTGTCTTCATTTCTTTAAGTTTATTGTTAGATATTCTGGGAGTTCTAACTAAAAATGTTATTCAAAAAGTGTCTTTCATTGTAAGATTCAATGGACAAAATTTGATAACTTTAATCAACTGAGGCCTTATTCACAAAGCATCGCAATTTGAATGCGATTGCTATTGCTATGCGACTGCAACATCGCAATTTTGGAGCGGTAATCACAATGACGTGATATCGCAATCGCGTAGCAATTAAAGTAATCGCATTAGGATAGCAATGTGTTAGCAGCTTTACTGTAACAAGTAAAGCAAACATAGGATGGTTGAAACCAATGGTATTTAATTGATTTAGGACTGTCCGTGGAGTTAATAATAAAAACTAAGATTAAATAAAATAAAATTGTTGTTTTTAAATGATTTTATAGACCCAACACCCATTTTTTTGAGTAGTTTATTCGATTCTATCCCAAGATATATTTCTAAATTCTATTTTGATGGGTATGGGAGGGGACCTGCTCAACCCTCTCAAAATTATATCTTCTAGGAACTTAGTTTATGTTAGCTGTTTTCCAATAATCGTTCCATCAATCCCTTTCATTGCCTAAAATCGTTCACATCTCTGTATTTTTACAATTTACTCATTATCTATTTATGGAATTACCCCATTTCGAGGCAGACGATTCCTCTCGATCATCTCATGATCATCGTAAATATCCAATGGATGTGTTCTGTCGCGAAATAATCTAGGTCTTACGAGATGCTGTCTGTGGTTCACCACTATCATCGCCATTTTGTTTTACAGTGTCTCAGACGACTGATAATGGCAGGAATTATAACAATACAATTCATTGATAGCAATTTTAGATGAAATATAGAAAATATTCTTCCATTATTTAAGACAACTTTAGACCCTTAGTATCTTGTCAGAACACATGAAATGACGATTTTTTTTAAAATCCTATGTTGGTTAGTATACCGAAAAATGTTGTATCAAAATAGCAAATAATTCTGAGAACGCTAAATGCATTTAATTAAAACATAAAGCAACCCTTAATATTGCGACTGTATTTTGGCTGGTAGAGGGTAGTCGCAATTATATGACGCTATTAATGCGATTGAATTGCTAAGTCGCAATCGCACTTTGATTGTGAATAAGAATTTTAGTGATTTTTGCGATGGCGATTGCGATGTCGCAATCGCATAGGATGCGACACATTCTGAATAAGGCCTCTGATCAGGTGTATGTATATTGTATATTGCTGGTAGTTACCACAGGTGTTTGTGCTCTATATGGTTGCTGCATCTCCTGTGTGCTCTCACTGTTCTCTGGTGTCAGTCTTGGCTGTTTCACTTTAGGTTCTCCCATTGTATCTTTTCCAATCTCTGTGGACTGCTTCTCATCACTCTTCCGCTTCTTACTAGAAAACAACATAAAATGTAGCTAGCCACTCTAATACTGATGATTTAACAAGTTTGATGCTGATACTGCTTCAAAACTCTTAACTACATGTGTATATCTTTTGGTGACTTGAAAGAGTTGATCTTAAATGAATAGAGCTCTTTGTAGGTCAGAGAAAATGTCATGCTTTTCAGACTGCATATCCAAATTGAATATAGGAGTTATCTTGCCTTAAACATGAGGACAATGAGTTCCCTTAGTTACAATTAACATATACAGTAACAGTATACTATTCTATGGGATGTAAAAACTAGATAACAGCAACGCCAAAGCGTAGCAAATCCCAACGAACAGCCATGGCTGGCATTTTTACAAAATCCCTAAACTACTTTTTCAGTTATAAAAAAATCATAAAATAACACACATAAAATGGCCACCATTTTTAAAATGGTCGCTCACTAGCGAAATTGTCATAAGAAAGTGTAATATGCCCTTAAGTAGGCACATATAAAATTTAAACAAAATCGCACACACATACATGCAAATGGTGGCCATTTTGAAAAAATGGCCGCCTACTAGCCAAAGTGTCATAAGACAATGAGCCATGCAAAATAACACACATAGCTTCTAGACAAGGTGTCATAAAACAATGTGTCATACCAAATATATATATATATATATACCAAATATATATATATATCAAATATGAACAAAATCCCTCCACTACTTTTCAAGTTACAGCAAAAATCGTAAAAACACACATAAAAGTGTCATAAAACAGTGTGCCATGCTTATGAGTATTCACATATAAAAAAAAATATGAACAAAATCGCTCCACTAATTTTCAAGTTACAGAAAAAAAAAATAAAACAGTGTTTAAAAGCCATATCTACATTTCTAGCTTTATTAATGTCTTGCTGAACGGTTTGGCTGGAAACATGTAGACAAGTCTTGAAAGTGAAGATTTTAGGACGGAAAATCCAAAATGGCCACCTTAAAATTTACCCAGAATGCCCAAAAACCAATCAGTTCTTGACGTTGATATGTAGAAACATCCCTGAAAATTTCAGATGAATCCCTCAAATGGTTTGGCTGAAAATCTGTAGACAAGTCTTGAAAGTGAAAATTTTAGGACAGAAAATCCAAAATGGCCACCTTAAAATTTACCCAGAATGCCCAAAAACTAATCAGTTCTTGACATTGATATGTAGAAACATCCCTGAAAATTTCAGATGAATCCCTCAAAAGGTTTGGCTGGAAACCTGTAGACAAGTCTTGAAAGTAAAGATTTTAGGACGGAAAATCCAAAATGGCCACCTTAAAATTTACCCAGAATGCCCAAAAACTAATCAGTTCTTGACGTTGATATGTAGAAACATCCCTGAAAATTTCACATGAATCCCTCAAAAGTTTTGGCTGAAAACCTGTGGACAAGTCTTGAAAGTGAAAATTTTAGGACAGAAAATCCAAAATGGCCACCTTAAAATTTAACCAGAATGCCCAAAAACTAATCACTTCTTGACGTTGATATGTAGAAACATCCCTGAAAATTTCAGATGAATCCCTCAAAAGGTTTGGCTGGAAACCTGTAGACAAGTCTTGAAAGTAAAGATTTTAGGACGGAAAATCCAAAATAGCCACCTTAAGATTTACCCAGAATGCCCAAAAACTAATCAGTTCTTGACGTTGATATGTAGAAACATCCCTGAAAATTTCAGATGAATCCCTCAAATGGTTTGGCTGGAAACCTGTAGACAAGTCTTGAAAGTGAAGATTTTAGGACGGAAAATCCAAAATGGCCACCTTAAGATTTACCCAGAATGCCCAAAAACTAATCAGTTCTTGAGGTTGATATGTAGAAACATCCCTGAAAATTTCAGATGAATCCCTCAAATGGTTTGGCTGGAAACCTGTAGACAAGCTGAAAAGTGAGACGCCGCCCAACCACCCGCCCGCCCATCAAGCTGACTACAATATTGTACCTTTTGTTAGGTACGATAAAAATTTGTAAGAACAGTGTAAAAATAATTTTACTTCTTATTGTCTATACTGAATGAACAGCAGCTCAAAGAGCTCATTGTAATATTTTTGTAAATTTCTTTGCTTTTGTATTATATATAAATATTATATATTTTTTAAGTTAAGTCTAATAAATTTTCTTCAAAAAAACAACATAGCTTGCCCCAAGACTAATACGAGTAATTGGAAGAGAACTTACTTGACTTGCAGGCCATCCAGTGCAGATTTGATTGTGCTAGAGATTCCACTCTTCACTTTTCTGAAGAATGAGGCAGGTTTGGACTCCCTACAATACGCATGTACATAACAATAAATATGTTTATCAACACTATATGTAATAACTAGGCTGAGACCAACTTTCATGGAAGAAATGTGAGTATTCTTTCATATTTCTGTTTATTCTGTATTCAGCAAACATATTTTACAATTATTTTAAAATTACTAACACCAGGAACACTCATATTTGCTATTTCACTCTAAAAAAATTACTTGAAGAAATGTATTTACTTCACTCAAGTAAAGACCATTTTTTAACTTAACATTACTTAAATAAGTAAATACATTACAAAAGTAAATAGAAGCTTGCACTGAGTAATTGGTTGGCTAGTAGTAAAATTAAATAATTTAATTACTTAAACTTTTTTAATTTGATTTGGCATAATTATTAAAAAAAATTACTTAAATATTTTTCAAGCAATCCAAAGTAATTTCTTAGTGATCTCCCAATTAATTCACATTCAAAGTTTTACTTAAAACTACTATATAAACTACCTTTTGTAACTTATGTATAAAAAATTGTAATTTCAAGTAAATTAAGTGTGTCTAAGATTACTTGATGAATTTATATGAATGAATTCTAGAAAAAAACAAGTAAAAATGTAATTGGATTTCAACTAGGATTTGCTTTATCATGACAAGACACTTACAGGCCTCCTAGACTTCCAACAACACGAACATCAGTTCTGACCTCGCGAACTACATTCCTTCAACTCGAACCACAACTCTCATATCCGCAAAGGTGAAATCCTGAGTCGTCACCACCATTTATCCACATATTTCTCCATTCATGCACAGAGATCCGTGTTCGCAAACAATTTGTACATAAAAAGTGCATCTGTGTATTTTCATAAGTTATGTGTAATAATGCGAATAACATTACAGACTTTTTTCAATCCGGTGTGTGGTTCGCGAGCAGGGATCTCTGCGCGGGAGTGCAGAAATACTGTATGTTAGGGAGCGAGGAAATGGTGGTGCAGGACTAAAGATTTCTTGTTCGCGATGTTAGAATCCTGGTTTGAGTGCAAGGAACATAGTTTGCAAGGTCAGAACTGAAGCTTGCATTGATGGAAGCCTAGGAGGCCTGACTTTTCATGTGTACTTAATATAATGTCCAAAAAGACTTGCACCTGACCAGTAAAGGACAGTAAATGGTAATCAATACTTGGAAAAGTTATTGTTACAGTAACAAGGAAACCTCTCCCAGAGAGATCCTGTATTTGTCATAAATATAGGGCAAAAATTGGGAATGCCCCAACTATAATCCTTCAGTTTTAGAAGCATGGTTAGAGGCGCATTGCAACCAGAGCTTATGCAGGCTACACTATGTGAATACATGTATTTACTGTTATAATGACTATTTACTGTTTTGAAGACTGCTAACTGTTATGACTGTTTACAGTTATGGTGATAGCACAGTGTTATGACTGTTTACTGTTATGAAGACTGTTAACTGTCATGACTGTTTACTGTTATGAAAACTGTTAACTCTTATGATTGTAAACTGTTATGATGACTGTGTACTGTTATTATGACTGTACTGTTCATACTACCCTACCTCGATCGCGCATGAGCGAACCTTTTGACTTTCGACCAGGGCGCTTTTGAGTAAATCGACTGCAACTTGGAAAGCTTAGAACTTGTCGAGTAAGGAATTAGTCAATATTGTTATTCACTCAATTCAAATGGTAGATTGGTGAAGTACATGTTCAAAACTGTATGTCTGTGTAAAGAAACATATAAATAATATTGGTTTAGATTTTGAAATATTTGATATGTCTATAATACAGGGTACAAAATTTGAAAATTTGATCTATACAGGACACAATGAATGTAAATTGTTCAATAGTACAGGGAGCGAGAAAGTAAGCTGATTATACAGAAAGATTCGCTGGTTTTATACCAAAACCAATTCTGAGATAGTCAGTAATATACTAGAATCATTCTTAAACATTTTCTTCAGGTTGGACCTTTAAATCACAAAACTATTTTCTTCTTTTCACAACCTTCATTTTAAACTTCTCAAGACGTTTTGGTTCGCATCTGGATCCTTTTTCAACTGATATAAATACTGAACTGAAGCACTACAAAAACAATTAAATAAAAAAAACAATATTACGTCATATTAATTCACCAAAAATTCACTCCAAATTCCCACCAATTTATAGTTCCTTTGATCACTGTTCATTAGGGATCCCACGATTGCTCGATGCACCGATATAATCGCTAGAAATCACCTCCGATTCGATTTAATAGATATGGATCCTCTATTTTCGATATTATCGATAATCGTTTTTCAAATCAACTTACCCGTTAAGTAAGTAAAAGAGCTCTATTAAACCAAAATTGACACAGCAAAAGTCCGGGAAAAATTAAAAATTGAACATATTTTGAAGAGCTAACATGACACGCCACATATTTTCGTGATTCAAACCGAACGTGAACTTTTTAGCAATAAACGGATTTTAAAAAATTTTGCGAACAATTGTGATTTTAGGTGTCCTATTTGCATTTCCACACCAATAATTATAGCATTAATTGTCTTAATACGTAATAAATGCGATAGGGTCCTAAACGTATCTTTATTTTAATGTTTTAAGATCTTTCGAATTTGCGATATATTTAGCGAACGACAATCAAACATGACGTTCGAATATTTAATGAATAGCGAAACCTCGGCGAGATTTAAATCCCATAAAGCTGATATTCGTAATATGGAGAACACCATAGATCACGGCCAGATTCTTTTGTAGTAGAATCAATTATTCTTTGAGCCTATCTTTATTTTAATGTTTTAAGATCTTTCGAATTCGCTACAAAACAATCTGGCCAACATATGTGGAGCCACACCATCGCAATAAACACAACCTATAAGGTAAGTCTGAGGTGTGGAGGTCTTTTAAAAACCCAGCATTCAATAACAACACAACTTTCTATTCTCAGAAGGGTAACTTTGAAATATTTTTTTAGCGTGGGGACTACCCCCCCCCCCCTATGTATACACAGACATTTACAATGAATATGTGTATCGAATCGTTTGTATCGAATCGTTTTCATAATATCGAGATACGTATCGAATCAAAAACAAATGTATCGTGGGATCCCTACTGTTCATGTTGTTATTATTCTTCTTTATAAAAATAGATTCTTTGATCCATCTTTCTAATCTCTTATTGTCATTGTCCAAAACTGTTGTATTGTTCCAATCTATTAATCACACCTCTAATATTTTCTTTAGCTTGGCGCGTATAATGTGAATGGTCTGCTTATATCTTATGTTCTTTAATTCTTATTCTTATTTTCAATGGTCTTGAGGTTTCCCTAATATACAATTTTTTACATGTTTTGCAAGGTACCTCATAAACAACTCCTGATTTATCATTAATATCTATTGTGTCTTTAGGGTTGACTAACATATTTTTCAGAGTCATGTAGGGTTTCACTGCTGCATTAATATTGTTTTCTTAGATTCTCTGGAGCTTCTCCATTGTTCCTTTGATATAAGGTAAAACTACAGTTCCTAACGGCTTTTCTTCTTTATAGACCTCACATTTTACATTTTTCAGTGTCGAGGAAATGGTCCCTTCAGGATATCAACAAAATCCCAATACTAGAATCATGTTTTGTACAATATTGTGATAGTATATTTTTGAACCACTAAATGGAATTGATCTAATCTTTATTTTCAGATGAGTATGATAACAACATACATGTGCCAATCATTATTTCTAAGGCGCTTGATATCCTAATCCAGTGGTACATGGAGCTGTATTTGACATTCAAAACCAGAATATAATGAATAATAGAAGGAATGATGTTTCATTGGATTACATTGATGCACGAATGCATACAAGGGGCGTCATTAGAATATTTCAAATACTACATCAGGCCTCGAAATTAGCATTGCTAAGCGTAGTGATTCACTACCTGTTTTCTCCAAAACACTACTTGTCATTTCCTCCAGATAGCTAATTTTGCTAGTACCTCACCAAACAACTCTTTCCATATTTTCGATTTGTCGATCCGCTCATATTTGTTATTTCTTGTTTGTACTATATCAAAATATTTACAACTGCACGAAAGCAGACCAATCATAATCAGCTTCAGTCTTACTATCAATGATATGTGTATGTAAATCACAGTAAATCGTAGTAATAACTGGGTAAGTATCTTGGTGGGAGTTTTGAGACCAATCAGATTGATTCTTTAGGCATATGATTAACCAGAACAACGGCAACGCCAAAGCGTAGCGAATCCCATCGAACAGAAATGGCTGGCATTTTTACAAACGAATAGCAAATATCATAAAACAACACACCAGAAAGGCCACCATTTTCAAAATGGTAGCTCACTGCCATGCTCACAAATGGCCGCCATTTTGAAATGAGCAGCCATTTTGAAAATCGGCTTTCGAGCAGAACTTCTACCCCCGTAGGGTATATGTGTACAAAATATGAACAAAATTGGGCCAATGGTATTTGAGTTATTGCCCGGACGGACAGAAGGACGTACGGACGTACGGACGGACGTACATACGGACGGACGGACGGAGGCGTTCCCTTTATCCCTCCGAACTTCGTTCGATGGGATAATGAAGCAAAATCACGGCTCAGCAAATAGCGAAATAAAATAAATCCACTAACAAGATTTTGATTTCTTTCCATAGTTTCACAAACAAGTATCGACTTCTTATTGCTTATACTTAACTATCTTTAGTTTTGAAAAATGCACAATATTTCAGTTTTATCCGTGATAAGTTATACAGTATGGAATATGTAATGAAATTAAAAAAGTACATTATACAGTGTAATATCTTATTATTGCGAGGGTAAGTCATCAGAATAAAGATCGCTCTCATCAAAAAAATCATCACTACCTGCTTCTGTCAAATAGCTACCTGGAAAATTCACTAAGTAGTGAAACAACTGCCTGAAAAAAATTAAGCGCGAAGCCTGGCTATATGGAAATGCTTGCCAAAAACTGCAAAATAACTATATGTGCATGTTTCCTTTAAAGTGTGTTTTTGTGTGTAACACATACACAAAACAACATCAAATAATACAGGTACCGTACTGGTGTATGTTATTCAATTGTATTAGTTGATGTATTCAATGACTAAGATGTTGATTCAGTAATCATAATAATAATTTATAGACTTTAGCACGTTCGTTGAATCAATGTAATTGACAATTGCATACTTCCGTATCAAGTTCTCATTGGTTAGTGTGAATCGTTGCGGAATATGACATATATTTGTATCATGTTTACCGTGTAACACATGGTATGGGTCACTGAAACAATGAATTTAAATAAACAAAAATTCCCGTCATTTTTCAAAAAGAGGTTAATTGTCAAATATTCCACCATGCATTTCAAAAAATATTATCTTTGATACCTATGCAAAGATTGAACAAAGGACACACTATTTCAATAATAAAATGCCATATCTAATGTGCCACTTCAATGTTTTAGCATATCAAAAATATTTTGCAACCTGAGTGATGTCATCGATGACTTACTCAGGTGGCAAACAGTTTTTTGAAAAAAATGAAATTTTTTTTATGTCAATCTTTTCTAAATATACTAAACTTCAAAATTAAATCAATGCTGATTGTTTAACCAGGTTAAAAGGAAGAATATATTATGTTTTAGATATTATTGTACCATTGGTTTACATAAAAACTAAAATTTTGAAATGCATTTTTTCTGAAGCATTTTCATGGATTGATGAGTTCATTTCTCGCATATTTATGAACTGATTTTCTTAATTTTTTTGGCAAAATGCACATGAGGATGAATGCTTTGCATTAGTATGAATTATCACTTATTAAAAGATATGTGTAACCTCTAAAAGTTAGTTTTAAAGAAATTCACGATTTTTCGAACCTTCAAAAACCACTTTTTGAAATTAAAATAAAAAGTTTCACATATCAGACTTTGATAACATTAAGACTACAATATAAGCCAAAGTGGTTTAAACTTTATATGGGGACTTTAAACAATATATTTGCAAAGAACTATGTCTACTATATTTGAAGGTAATTTAACATACAATACATTAATGCTATCTCTTTTTGAAATAAACCAAATGAGAAAAAAACTCAATGTTGTGTTATTAAAAGTTATTATCTGTTCTCAGTGATATATATACAATCATGAGTTGGATTGGCTGGAATCAGGCACCCCATGAGTCCAAATCATGAGTATTATATCCAAGCCAAGTTAAACAATGAAAAAAGTCTGAATATTAACAAATGCTCAACAAATGATGATTCACACAAGTAAAAGCAATACTACACCTTATAAATTATACAACATTATTGAAGTAAATACAATTTTAACTAATGATCAAGACAAGTAAATGCATTACTTCAGTTGCCGAATGGTTTACTTGGATTAAGTAATAGTAAATAATTCACACATAGCTAGGCAAGGTGTGTCTGATTTCAGCCAATTAGAACACAGTATTTCACATGACAGCAGTGCATGAAATAATCAATAACGCACTCAGGTCACTAGTTAAACAGTTATCATGATGATGAATGGACTTTTCACATTGGATCTGATGGCTTGCCAACTTGCAATTGCAAAAACTTTCATTGAAAATGTGTTCTTTTAGTGATTCGGTTCCTTTTAAATGATTTTGTAGAAAATATTTTGCAATGTGTGAAAAGAATTTAAGCCCAAGACTCAATGTCTTGTAGTTTTCATTTAAACCAGACCTCCAAGGCATGATTCAGCAAACTGAAATACTAAGATATTTTGAACCATTCCCCAAGGTTTTACTAAATTTTACTAGATCCTCTGCCTAATTCCAAGTTATATAATTACTAAAAATTACTTCATGTAAGAAAATGTTTTACATAGCTTAAGAAATAAAAAAAATCATTAGTTATATAAATAAATTGAAATACTAAGAACTTTTGAACCACTTTGCACCACATCCAGAGGTTCTACTTGGTTTTACTAGATTCTCTGACTCTTTCCAAATAATATAATTACTAAGAATTACCAAGCATTACTTTATGTAAGAAAATATTTTACAATTTGGCTTCCACATTTTTGATTTGTAATTTGTCAATAATAGTAGTGGCAATCAAATAACACATTTAGGCAACTTCAGATAACAGAGTTTATGGATTAAAGTTAGGTCACTATACTTTAAAATTACATGACTGTAGATTTACTAGGTTAATATAAAATAAGAAACATTTATTTTTTCATTACTCACATTTCCTCATGTTGTACAGTGGCATGCTGGGAATCAACCTCTTGTTCACGTACATCTATGACATCATCTGGCAGCTGGGTAGCATCCTCCTCTGATTCACTTTCAGCCTTGTAGAAATGGAAATTAAAAGGAAACATAACATGGAAAATCATCCATATGAACGTACATCTAGAATTATTTTCAAGTTTCATGGTTTGTATCTGAAACAAAGCTTATGATCAAAGCTTAGAGATCCCATATCTCTACCAAATTCTGTTGAATAAGGCCCAAACTTTCAGGAATTTTTCATACATGCCTTACTGATATATTAAGAATGTTTCATTACAATTGCAACAACCTCAAATGAGATATTAAATAGTTTCAAGCACATGGTCAAACTCCGACTCAAAAATGATAAAATTTGCTGACTCAGCACTTTTGAGCCTGCTTTGCAAGGGTTCACAAACTTTTTTTACATGCCTTGGGGTACCCTACAGGATTCTGAAGTCAAATTGAATCTAGGTGTTTTGGACACAAATGGCCTTGGCCGTAGTACTATGAATGTAGTTCCAGTTTAATTCATCGCAACAAATAATGAAGTATACGGACAAAGTTGAGAAACTTGAAAAAAAACTTATATTTGACCTCAATTTTGACCTTTGACCTTGACCTACATAAAAAATATTTTCCCTCCTATTCCAGCCCAGGTTTCTAGTAGGAGCATAGGTAGTTGAAAGCTAGTTGGGAGTAGGAGAAAAATGCTTTGAAAGAATAATAATAAACTAGACTTTTAAGATCTCACGGAGGCCCTCTTAGGCATTTTTGACAATTTGAAGGTCAAGTAAAGGTCAAATGTCAAATCTGAGGTCAGATGATAACTTGTAGATGATTTTCAAAAAAAGATTTGGTCAATTTGAAGCAAGTTTAAATTTGACCTTGAAAAATTTCAAAATTGACCTTTTTTCAACTTTTGAACTCGTAATCTCAAACTGGGAAAAAATAGCAATACGCCCATGATGGTGTTGAGTGAACAAGTCTTAATGTCTAAATTAATTTGATACACACTGTACCTTAGAAATAATATCGTCTCAAACACAACATTTCCACTCTACTTCAAAAGTAAAAGTAAGTAGTACTTACTTTGACATTACTTCCTAAAGAATACTGAACGTTCTTTGTCACATCAGAAGTTGAGGCTTGAGGCTCTTTCATCTCAATGTTATCAGTTAATCCACCCTCGGAGGTTGAAGCTACTGGATTCTCAGTTGTATTGTCCATTGTTTCAGTTACAGGAGAAGGATTTCTCATGCCAATCGTTGCCTGCAAATAAGCGTCCACACAAAAATGTATATAAACTAGTCTGGGGTCTCTGAACTTACTAGACAGGTTCCAATTTTAATAACTCAAGTTTTTGTTGCATTTTTTAGAAAAAGCAACATACCTTTTTTACTATACCAGTTTTTCATGCTGATAATGATATTAAAAGATGACAGCTCAGCGGGATGGCCATGACACTGAATTTTAGCATTTTTACTTCCCTAGGAAAATATAGTAGGAGGTACTATGAAATTAGTTCATAACTCAAAGGATATATGAGCTAGTGTTCTGATTTCTACACCATACATTGCTAGTACAAATATGAATACTATCTTAAGGTATAGGTGATACCCTTAACCCTTATTGGTCTAAAAAAATACAATGAATAAGAAAAAGAAACACAATTTTTGTCTTGCTAATTCTATATTTGTAGCTTCAAGCAAAATATGACAGCTTTAACAGCTCAAAGTAGTATTATAACAACATTTCCAAGCTAAATGCCATATTATAATACATCTATTTTAGTGATGAAGTACAATTTTGTAATTTTAATTTGACTTTTAGTGCCCTACCCTTGGAAAATAGAAGAAAGAGGATGTGGTCAATTTCATCATTTTGCAGCATTAAGTTAGAAGCATGCATTGATAGACACCAATCAATGCATTCAAAACATCATCAAATGTTAGGTGACACTTTAATTTATTCATTACGAGAATATAGGACTTTAGATATCTTATATGTAAGTTTTCAATTTATTACATGTATCATAATGAAATCTAGTGAAACTAGAAAAACAGCAACTCCACGGACTAGCAAGCCCCACCGAACAAATCATGTTTTGATAAATAGCGACAATATAAAACTTGATCCAAATCCATCTACTGGTATTTGAATTATCAAAGATTATGTTTTTATGAAACATGGTTGCCATTTTGAAATTCAGCTGTCATCTTTAGATTTCTTCTTAAGCAGAGCTCCTATGTCCCAAGGCATCAGCATATAAAATTTAATCCAAATCAGTCTACTGGTACTTGATTCATTTAGATTACATGTTTAATGAAAAATGGCGGAGATTTCAATAAATAACAACCACGTTGAAAATTTCTTCTCAAACAGAAATCCTTTATCTCTAGGCATCAGTATATAAAATTTGAAGTAAATCCATCCAATGGTATTTGAGTTATCAAAGATTACCTTTTTTATGAAAAATGTCAGCCATTTTGAAATTTAGGTGACGCCTTTGAAATTTCTTCTAAAGCAGATCTCCTTTTTCCCGAAACATCAGCATATTAAGTTGGAACCAAATCCATTCACTGGTATTTGAGTTGTCAATGACTACGTTTTTTAAGAAAAATGGCCGCCATTTGGAAATTCAGAGGCCATCTTGAAAATGTCTTCTTGAGCAGAATTTCTTTGTCTCTAGGCATCAGCATATACAATTTGAACCAAATCCATCCACTGGTATTTGAATTATCAAAGATTATATTTTCCTGAAAAATGGCAGCCAATTTGAAATTAGTGGCCATGTTGAAAATTCCTTCTCGAGCAGTGGTCCTACACCCATAAGGCATAAGCCTATAAAATTTGAATGAAATCCGTCAACCGGACACACGAACGGACGGACGGACGAACGGCTTTTCTATATCTCCCTCAAACTTCGTTCGGTGGGATAATCACATACTACAGAGGTTGGCATACAGTCTGGACATTGAAATAAAGTTTAAACATTATAACCATCAATTGATCTCATCTAAGCAACCAAACTATGGTGGTCATCATGCACAAGTGCTACAGTGTCCCATGTACTAGGCCACGAGTCATTTGAGCCATATATACCTCCTGGTATATCCCTAATAATCCTTTACAACCCATTCAGAAGGGTCATTTAAAATGTGCAAATCAAGGCAAAAGTTCCGAAAAACTGTTAGTTCTCATCATTTGACCATATAACTGAGTCCTCATTAAGCCATGCTGCATCACAGCCCGATGTTAGAAAAGTAGCTAAGAATCTTTATTAACCAAAGATGACTTTCCAACAGTTAAGCTAGCTGCAATATGCATAAAATCAGACCAGGTTTGCCACTTGCTCGTAGCTGTAGGAGTGGAGCCATGTACAAGTGTTGCAGCCAATACTTGCTTCTTATTATTGGTGGTAAGATTGTCAAACAGTGCCAACATCAATAACTCCAGGCACAGATACCCCAGATGGTGCCGCACACTTGTATAAATTAGTGTAACTTATTTACTGATGAGCCTTTAGCATATCTGGCGAGTGGGCTGGTACTGGTAGTAATCAGCACTCGTTTTGACAAAAATTGTTTCAATTTCGAATATTTTGGGCTCCTATCATTCCCTTTCATGTCCTTTTAATTAACATCCCCATGTCTATACTTTATTTAAGGAAAACTTAAGATTTGAATGATGCATTCGTTTTCACATAAAGATGATAACAATATTAATTATTATTAGGGAGAATTTGAACATCCCTCTTTTTACATTCCATTCACACATTCCAATCAACGGGTATTAACTCATGACAAGAAAGTTTGTAAGTTTATTTCTAGGATTATGTTTATAATTAACCTATTGTGAGTTTTATTTTCAATCGAAAAACAACGGGTGGCAATCGTATCTTGTTAATTAACAAGATAATACCTCAAGTTGCAACCAATTAGAATATTAATCCAAAACAATCATATCTTACACTAAATATTTTCCGAAACAGGTTTTATTCCTTATCACATTTCAATGCAATTTAACTTTGTTAACATTTATTTTACAACACAGAAATGATTTATTATTCAAATATTGTGGAGTTAAATCGCGAAAACATGAATACGCGAAAAGAATCAAATGTACAAATCCGCGAAAATTGATCCCGCGAATTTTAAGTGTTTTACAGTATAGATAAAACATGCTTTGAGACATGAATGCTGAATATGGATGACCAAAATGAGCTAAAACCAATGGATAGCACAAGTTTTTTCAATGGGGAAATAACATGAGGAACACTAATCTTAGGGAAATTTGGTTTTCCTTTCAAGACCTATTTGATAAATTAAAATAAAGAATTATAAGTAATGCATTAAACATTGTAAAAATGATTGCATTTTTGGTGAAAACGACAACTTTGAAAAAACATGTCCGATTGACTTTATTATCCCTGTATTTCTTTAAAATAATGAATGGATCTATTTTTTAACCTAATTGTACCCCTCCCCCAAAACCCCCAAATTTTGACAATTGTTGAAAAATGGCAAACAACATTCATTAAAGTTCAATATGGCTTTTTCGCTTCTTTGGCATTAAGATATGGTACGATCTCAGGATGAGCAAGGGGTGATCAATAAATATGTATCTGTCTTCATGGTCAGAAACTAGGCATAATTCAAGATATAACTGTCTGGAATTGTTTGCAATAACCTACCTGAAGCTTTCCAGGGTTAAATCAGGAGTGACAAAATTATTTCTACCAGATTTTTGACATGTCTTTAAATGCGATAGTATTTTCTGCATAAGATAGAGTGTCACTTGTGAAATTTATTGATCACCCCTTGTTCATCCTGAGATCGTACCATATCTTAATGCCAAAGAAGCGAAAAAGCCATATTGAACTTTAATGAATGTTGTTTGCCATTTTTCAACAATTGTCAAAATTTGGGGGTTTTGGGGGAGGGGTACAATTAGGTTAAAAAATTCACCTGACCCAGACTATACTTCAATATCCCTACCAAGCAGAGGTGTTTATATTGCATGATTAAAATTACAATGTTTTTGCTTTACATTCAAAACAAGACTTTTTGTCTAGCTTAATTATAACTTACTGAAGAAGTTTATTGGTTACAGTAGGTTATAAATCAAATTAAAGACATTTCCAATCACACACCATGAAATTAATTAGCTTATGTATATAAATATATAGCTTATATTCATGAATGAAAACTTTCGGCTAGTGGTTACTGGGCTGATTGTGATTTGACAGCAAACTCATTTAAATATGTACAGTACCTGCAACCTAACGTGTCAAACCCAATCGCTGACCTAAATAACAGGTTAATCAGCCCATTAACAAGCAAGTTACAGTGATCTACAATCTGTTTTGTCATTTAATTGAGTGCTTTATAATGGATCATTACAGTGGCATAACGGATTGTTTGTTAAATCAACTTCAACATGACGGGTTAATTTATGAAAATTAATAAGTTAATCCGGTAGCCCAAAGCTGAAAGTTGCATTCGTGAATACAAGCTTATGCCTGGGTCACATTAGCTCCGATTCATCAGCCGGCGCCCAGCTGATTGAGTTTTCTGTTCAAAACTGAATACAATTGTGATCAGGAAACTCAATCGGCCGGGCGCTGGCCGATGAATCGGAGCAAATGTGACCCAGGCATTACATGTACATTTTGATATATTATGTCAGTATGTTAATATTTTCCAGTATAAATTTGAATAACTCTTACCAAGAATTTTTTCTTTTCTTTCAAATCTAATCGGCAATAGTCATGCAAGCCTGCACCTGAAATAAAGGATATTTTTAAAATCTATGTACATTTAATCCTGACCCAAAGGAAACGAGAATATACATATTGGTAAGAATAACTTAATTCTACAAACCTCTAAGCATTTTATCCAACGGTTTTTCTTCATCAGAAACCGCTGGTTTAACAGATACATTAACTTTCTGCACAGGTCTTGACCTAGTTGCTCTACTGACTCTCTCTATTGTGACATCATCAGCTTGAGCAACCCCTTCTGGGTCATTCATAAAATCAAGCTGTTTTACCGCTTGTGATGTTGTCATTACCTTTGAAGGGTTATTAAGACGCATTGTGACTACTTTTCTGAAAGATAAAGGAGGAATTTGAGCTATACTATTATACTAGTTTGCTTTGCTTGTGCACAATAGACTAATTCTGACACAAATTAAACGTTGGTATCTGGTCAAATAAAAACTGCCTTATACAGTGGAGAAGATAACCCCATTTAACATGTAACACGGAGATTGCCATTTTGCACGTCAATTGACGTGAATCACGCTAATAAGCATAATGCCCATTGTAATTCATAATTTGAAACACCAGATTAATTAGATGACCCAGTGTTTAATATATATACAATCTAAGTAATATTTCTTTTATAGTACGTACACTTTGGTAAACATTAATGATATATTAAATCCCAGGGAAGTATTTCATTCCAAAATTGTGGAGAAAATGCCGTTCAATCTTGTGAATTTTCTGTCAATGTTACGAACCAATGAAGTCACCACCGAACTTGGATTCTTGGAAAGTCTAAATCGATCGATGGAATGCTTTTCATTGCATTTTCTTCAAGTATTTAATCTAATCTAGCACTTGTATGCAGGAATTCGCGATCCTATGTGGGAATTTTGCGCTAGAACTAATCAAAGTTACCTCTCACAAATCCTAGAAAACGCCATATTGGAATATATTATGATACTCCTTCATTTGTCTAGATATTGTCTTTCCGACGGGTTTTACGACAAAATTGGTACTGACCCAATGGTATTTTAATCTCTTAACACAACGTGAGCCCCGATTCCGAGAAAAGACCACTGGAAATCACTAAAATGGGGTCTACTTTCCCTCTTCCTTTTGACCGGAAGTGTTTTCCTGGCCTTGGCGTGTTGCCGATTTTTTCGTTTTTTCATTTCATTCATTGGCTGGATTTGGTTTTTAAACCTTCTTTACAATGACCTAATAATAGGGGTCACCAGTTAACCGTGGCTTGCGGTTACCGCGGTTCATACCTCCACGACGGTTAGCTCGCACACAATCTTGAAAACCGCGGTTCTTGAAGAACCGTGACATTTTCAGTTTCACTTCAGAAAAATAAAAATGTAAACTCGGAATTAAACTCAATTTCAAGCTTTCGTGTAATACCAATTAACTAAACATCGTCTGGAATCGTTAATCATCATGCAATAATGCGAACCATACCTGATATTTACGACGATCTTCTGATATAGACGGCAGATAACAAAAACAAAAGGAAAATGTTGATAAATTTCACCGGCATATTGACCCGGAAGTGACCTACGCTAAAGGTGTCACTCCTGTAAATAGCACTTCCGGGTAGGACAGTGTTTTTTAATACTTTAAAAACGAAGCCATGCCAACTTCAATGGTGTGTATAGTAGGTTTAAGTGTATGCAATGTGGCCATTTGAGGTATGTCTGTAAAGCTGAGGCCAAGTACTTTCTAAATGTGCCATTTTAAGAAAAAAATCGCAAGAATATAGTCCCGTAAACTGGAACTACTTAACTCGTTAATTTTCATCGGTGAAGTAGAGATTTTACCTAAAAATGAGTCCCTATGTTGGCGTAGTGATATTTAAAAATCGAGACGCAAACCCTATGTTAAATATAGTGTCAAGATGAAGGTTATGTATAGGGGAACGCAGAAATATAGTCATGGTATGGGCTAGTTCGTTCGAAAATGGCGATATGTACCCCAGAACTTGGATTTTGTGATTTTTTTCAATATTTTTCGATGATTTACCGTAGTGACACCTTATTACCCCCGCCTTAGATTGGCTGCCATTTGCGCAGAGACCATGGAAGGCATGGATGTTGTAGAATTTCAAAATAGAGTCGATATTTACATTCAGGCTAGGCCACACAATGCTTTTAATTCACATTTAAAACTTCCTGTGCCTATCAGAATGGCCAAAAGGGGGCCAAACGGGGGTCCAAAGGGATCATAAATGGGAGAAAATCAGCTGGAATTCCATCAAAATTGCTGGTCATTTCTCCATAAATTACATGATTTTAAGGTTCCATACCTCATTTAAATTGCTACAATGTTGCAAACTATCATTTTACAGGCTTAATAAACACGCCAGGTGTATCACAGTAAGAGTAATCAAGATTAATTTGTAAATTGCTACATTGTAGCAATGGTATGAGTATGATTTCACACAATACACTGGGGCCTAACTGGCGTAATTAGGAGGAAAAGGGCAAATTTTACACATGGGGACCACATTTGACTCAAAATATTTGTATTTAGCAACATACATTTCAGTTCATTCTGTGTAATACTTGAAAGGCATTGCTATAATGATTGACAAAATGAAATAATCTCGGAGATTTTGCGTCTAAAATTTTTGCATGAGATCTCTTAAGTTGATGACCCAATTTTAGGTCATTTTGGCCAGATTTTAGAGACTCAGCCCTCACCTATTTCCCCAAATATGGCTAGATTTTGGAGAAAACGTGTTAAAAGTTTGCAAATGCAGCTGTTTCGAGCATGAAATAACTCAATTGTTTGAAAAAAACGCTAAATGAGCAAAAAATATCATAGTCAAATTTTCCCGTTTTGGGTATTAAGGTGTCACTCCTGTAAATAGCACTTCCGGGTAGGACAGTGTTTTTTAATACTTTAAAAACGAAGCCATGCCAACTTCAATGGTGTGTATAGTAGGTTTAAGTGTATGCAATGTGGCCATTTGAGGTATGTCTGTAAAGCTGAGGCCAAGTACTTTCTAAATGTGCCATTTTAAGAAAAAAATCGCAAGAATATAGTCCCGTAAACTGGAACTACTTAACTCGTTAATTTTCATCGGTGAAGTAGAGATTTTACCTAAAAATGAGTCCCTATGTTGGCGTAGTGATATTTAAAAATCGAGATGCAAACCCTATGTTAAATATAGTGTCAAGATGAAGGTTATGTATAGGGGAACGCAGAAATATAGTCATGGTATGGGCTAGTTCGTTCGAAAATGGCGATATGTACCCCAGAACTTGGATTTTGTGATTTTTTTCAATATTTTTCGATGATTTACCGTAGTGACACCTTAATACCCCCGCCTTAGATTGGCTGCCATTTGCGCAGATACCATGGAAGGCATGGATGTTGTAGAATTTCAAAATAGAGTCGATATTTACATTCAGGCTAGGCCACACAATGCTTTTAATTCACATTTAAAACTTCCTGTGCCTATCAGAATGGCCAAAAGGGGGCCAAACGGGGGTCCAAAGGGATCATAAATGGGAGAAAATCAGCTGGAATTCCATCAAAATTGCTGGTCATTTCTCCATAAATTACATGATTTTAAGGTTCCATACCTCATTTAAATTGCTACAATGTTGCAAACTATCATTTTACAGGCTTAATAAACACGCCAGGTGTATCACAGTAAGAGTAATCAAGATTAATTTGTAAATTGCTACATTGTAGCAATGGTATGAGTATGATTTCACACAATACACTGGGGCCTAACTGGCGTAATTAGGAGGAAAAGGGCAAATTTTACACATGGGGACCACATTTGACTCAAAATATTTGTATTTAGCAACATACATTTCAGTTCATTCTGTGTAATACTTGAAAGGCATTGCTATAATGATTGACAAAATGAAATAATCTCGGAGATTTTGCGTCTAAAATTTTTGCATGAGATCTCTTAAGTTGATGACCCAATTTTAGGTCATTTTGGCCAGATTTTAGAGACTCAGCCCTCACCTATTTCCCCAAATATGGCTAGATTTTGGAGAAAACGTATTAAAAGTTTGCAAATGCAGCTGTTTCGAGCATGAAATAACTCAATTGTTTGAAAAAACGCTAAATGAGCAAAAAATATCATAGTCAAATTTTCCCGTTTTGGGTATTAAGGTGTCACTCCTGTAAATAGCACTTCCGGGTAGGACAGTGTTTTTTAATACTTTAAAAACGAAGCCATGCCAACTTCAATGGTGTGTATAGTAGGTTTAAGTGTATGCAATGTGGCCATTTGAGGTATGTCTGTAAAGCTGAGGCCAAGTACTTTCTAAATGTGCCATTTTAAGAAAAAAATCGCAAGAATATAGTCCCGTAAACTGGAACTACTTAACTCGTTAATTTTCATCGGTGAAGTAGAGATTTTACCTAAAAATGAGTCCCTATGTTGGCGTAGTGATATTTAAAAATCGAGACGCAAACCCTATGTTAAATATAGTGTCAAGATGAAGGTTATGTATAGGGGAACGCAGAAATATAGTCATGGTATGGGCTAGTTCGTTCGAAAATGGCGATATGTACCCCAGAACTTGGATTTTGTGATTTTTTTCAATATTTTTCGATGATTTACCGTAGTGACACCTAAACATTTCGCGCAATCCTATTGGTTGATAGAACAGAATACTGTAAAAAGCCGAACGCCGAATGCATTGAATTTGCGAACGAGTCACGTTCTGTGTATTACGTTCGCCTTTGATCCATGTTGAGTCCTGACAAAGTGTTGAACTTAAGTTATATTTCTAAAGAAAACATTTATTCAGTTTAGTGAAGTACTGTGCTAATTTTGCCAACAGTTGACAAGTTATTTTATGTGTTGAAAAAACTTGAACATCAAACAAGAAGATCAACACAGTGAACACACAGATATTTTGGGAGGGAGGGAGGGAAAAAAGACTGAACAAACAAACAAACATTGTGTGAAACTGGATACTTACAATACTGAATACAATAAAACACTGTGACACACTTAGTATGTTTTCTGATTTTCGGATCAATTTCATATATTTTTGCTCATTTCACGAGGCCCGTGAGAACCGCAATCAGAACCGAACCGAACTGTGAAATACAATAACCGAACCGAACCGTGAAATCTCAAACCGTGTGACCCCTACCTAATAATTACCTTAAACGAATTATAAACAATTTAAATTCCTATCCTCATTAGATCAGAATTTATTAGTTTTCTTTCCATCATTTGTTTACTTCCGGCTTGCAGTTGAATAAATATTTCTTTTTAAGAAGAATATTTTTAGTTTAAGCCAACGGATGTGTTTTGTTCCTTTTTGTTTTGCAGGACAATGCAGGACACTTGAATTTATTTGTAAAGCTAGGAAATGGGTCAAAAATGAATTTTGCGAGACAAAAATGGTGGCCATTTTGAAAATAGGCGAGCTTTTGAACCAGGATTCATAGGGGAATTTTCGGTATTGATGTTGAACAGAAATAACTTTAAACAGGAATCCTTTCCACAGAGGTTTTAAAACATGCCACTATTGTTGACGGACGGATGCACGGACAGACAGACGGACAAGTGAATGATAACACTTTAAAATTGAGGCTGATTGGATCAAGGGCTTATTTAATACCCGGGGCTTAGTTATGTACCAAACGAAACAAGAAACGACACAACATCCGGGGCTTTGTTTGATCTTCATTAGACAATAGTATATAGAGGGGTATGTTTTCTCAGACCTAGGTACCTTTTTCTGTATGGTTTTATGGTTATTTTACTCTATGGCATTGCAATCCGTTCACATCATTAGCTACACAATTGATTAACTTAAATATATGATATGTAAATAAGGGTTAATACGAACAGAATAAACAGGGAAATGTACTTGAAGTGGCGATTGTGTTTTCTGTCAGTCAGTCTTACCCCCCTTACCCAGCTCTATAGCGCAGTATAAGGTGACCTGATTATGCAAATGAGAAGACCCAATTGGTTTCTCGTCAGCGCAATCAAATGGACGCGGACAATCTTCGTTTTAACTGTTGTTTCCGAATGGTTCGTGACCGTAATTCACTAAACTATAGGAAATATGTTACGTTATGAGGATATTAGATTGTTTTTACTTACCAATCATCAACATGTGCTGACTAGGGATCCCACGATTGCTCGATGCACCGATATAATCGCTAGAAATCACCTTCGATTCGATTAATCGATATGGATCCTCTATTTTCGATATTATCGATAATCGTTTTTCAAATCAACTTACCCGTTAAGTAAGTAAAAGAGCTCTATTAAACCAAAATTGACACAGCCAAACTCCAAGAAAAATTAAAAATTCAATAACAACACAACTTTCTATGCTCAGAAGGGTAACTTTGAAATTTTTTTAACGGGGGACTCGAACCCCCCCCCCATGTATACACAGACATTTACATGAATATGTGTATCCAGAGACATATGTATATATATGTTTTTTATGTCTCTCAGTGGTGTATCGTATTTCCTGATATCGGTATATTAACTACAAAATCTACTTTTTGGGGTGATTTGTCCCAGTCATCGCCAACTGATTTTACCGATTTATTACCGTTATTTGTAGAAAAACTGATTTTTGAGTTAAAAAGGCTCTCTCTTTGACAAATTTTCAATGTTTTTGTCCTCTCAGACTGGCCAGTTTCCATTGGTTTATGCCCTAATTGCCAGTGCTGCACATACCTATCCAAATTGTTTAAAGTGTTTTTCTTTATCTGTTGTTGTGATCGTGTACGTCACTTGGCACTATAATGCTGCCTTTTGTCACTTTGTACAGTATTTTCACTTTGTGCTCATTATCACTTGACACTTGTCACTTATACTTGTTTATATATTTATTGAGAGAGCCCATTAATTGATATTAATTCATATTTTGGTAAAGAGTCACTGTTTCTATTGTGATGGTTGTTTATGACCTATTAGTTGATAGTAAGAACTGTTGTAATTGTTCTACTTACTAAAGGTTTAGGTCCATGTTGTTATTCAGGCCTGTGGTTGTTTGTTAGTCAATGGTTGAGTTGGTCTTGGCACCCAGTAGAATATGGTTGATGGCTGCAATCATAACCTCCCACTAAGGTTGTAGTTATACTGCACTGGAATTTAAAATGTTCAACAGATTCTGGTAAGTTACAGTGAATACAGTTTGGGGAGGATGGTTCAGGATTAATTCTGTGGAAGTGGCCATTGAGACAAGTGTGCCCTGGGATAATTTGATTTGTTTTGGTTTGATTGTACCTTTTACCAACTTTAAAGACTTTAATTGCACTTTTGGTATGAGGTTTTGAATGAAACTGACTTTATTGGAGTTATTATATCTGGTTTGCCATTTTCAACCGTCTTGTTCTTAATTGATTTATAGGCTGTTGATTTATTTATTACAGCTGATGATACTTCTGTTGCTGCATTAGCTGCTTTTTCATCTGTGATGTCAGCCATTTCATTCCCTTCAACACCTAGGTGTCAAGGGACCCAGAAGATCTCAACAATAGATTTTTTCATAATGCTCAATATTTTGCATGCTTTCCTGTTGTCTACAATGTCCGGATTCAGATTTTTCAGTTTGGTATTTTGGAAAGCTGCTAGAATGGCTGGTAGCCAATCAGAGAATATAGAAATCTGTCTGATGACTTTTCCAGTTTAAGTGCTACCAGCTCGCCAATATAGTAATTGCCCTGGCTGGCTACTGGCTTGTCCAGCCACACTGGGTTGCTGTTCTTGCAATTGATGTAAACAATAGCTGCTGCCCCTGTTGGTCCAGGGTTGCCCACAGCAGATCCATCTGTGAAGATAATGGTCTCTGAGTCTTTCATGTCTTCCAGCAAGTTGATATGCTGGGCTTGCTCATACAATGGCATCTGCAGGCAAGAATGGATCTGTCTGGTTGGTAGTAGTAGAGTTTGCTGTATTTTGATGGTTCAATGGGGCAGTTGTCTAGTCTTAGTCTGGCTGAGAATATATTGAAGCATGTAGGCCTCCTCTCTTGTCTGTCCGAATCGATCCACGTCTTGAGTGATGGGATCTGCTATGCTATGAGTGACTATTCGGACTGCCTCTTGTGATAGTCTAGCCCTTAGATGAATATCAACTGGCTTCCTGCTATAACCTCCTAGGATTCTGTGCTCACAGACAGTAGCCTAGCCAGCTTTCAGTCAGGGGGGGGTGTGATCGCAAATCTTTTTGGTTTTCAGTCAGTGGGGGTGCGATTGTGGCATATACAAGCCAAAAAGTAAGATTTATTTTAAATTTTACAATACATTCACTAAAATATATAATATTCTCTAAAAATAGTCCATTTTTCAAAATTCTTAAACTTAAATTTTTCCTTCATTAACTTATTATAGACTATTTTTAGATAATATTCACAGGCCAGTATCAAAAAATTTGTCCGCTGTGACGGGGCGTGCTTTTTTGCATAGAAACACTAAGAAACCCACACAATTTATTTTTTTACTCATATGTTTCGCTATACCAAAGAAAATTACTTACTCCATGCAATGGATATATCATTTGCGGGTAACTTTAACTTCTGTTTGAAGTCCAACAATGCTAAGAGTAAAAGCTATTGAAAACAGCGCCGGAGTATCATACTCCAAAATGTACTTTTTCTTTTATTTCTTTTTAATGGTACAATGTAATGACAAGATAATATTTACATATGTTTTCAGCATAACTCTGAAGGTATAATTTTTTTTATTATGAACAACAAACTGGAATTTCAACTACATCAATGGCATGAGGAAAACAAGAACACAAATGTGTACAATATGTCCCCACCTATGGGTGATCCCGTCAAATGGTTATCCTAAAAATGAGTAGACAAGACTTTACCGACACAATTTGAGGACGGAGAGTCCAAAATGGCCACCTTAAAATTTACCAAGAATGCCAAAAAATTAGTCAGTTCTAGATTTTCATACTAAGAACCACCCCTGAAAATTTGAAATTGATCCGTCACACAGTTAACCAGAAAACATTGTAAACAAGACTTTACAGATAAGATTTGAGGACAGAAAAACCAAAGTGGCTGCCTTGACATTTACTCAGAATGCCCAAAAACTAATCAGTTCTAAATTTTCATACGAAGAATCATCCCTGAAAATTTGAAATTGATCTACACAACGGTTCACCTAAAAAACGCATAGACAAGACTTTACGGGCAAGATTTTAAGACGGAAAATCCAAAATGGCTGCCTTGACATTTATCCAGAATGCCAAAAAACTAATCAGATCTAGATTTTCATACTGAGAATCATCCCTGAAAATTTGAAATTGATCTACCAAACGGTTCACCTGAAAATGCGATGACAAGACTTTACAGACAAGATTTTAGGACGGAAAATCCAAAATGGCTGCCTTGACATTTACCCAGAATGCCCAAAAACTAATCAGATCTAGATTCTCATACTAAGAATCATCCCTGAAAATTTGAAATTGATCTACCAAACGGTTCACCTGAAAACGCGTAGACAAGACTTTACAGACAAGATTTTAGGACGGAAAATCCAAAATGGCCGACAATAAAAAAGTGATTATGAGTTTTTGCTGAAATCTTTTTACAAAATTATCACATATAACTACTGTTAACAATAACATAGGCTTTTACAACAAAGTACACCTGAAATTATTTATAAAGCTACTAAAAAGTGAAAGTATGAAAACTGAAAAACACCATTCAATATGATACAAAGTATTATCGTGCGCTAACTTTTCTTAAAACATTCAAAATGGCTGACATGACTGAGCTAACAGGTCCAAAACCTAATCAGATCTAGAATGAAGTGAGCTGAACAAGATATTAAAGTTTTAAAAGCAACTGTTAAGCCGTTTTTCTTAAAGTTTGCAGACAAGGATTTTAGCATTTGACTTCAAAATGGCCGACAGGAAGTAGGTATCAAGTTGTTTTTTTTCATCCACATCTGTATGCACTCATAAGTTATCCCTGAAAATTTGAAGGTGATATCTGTAGCGGTTTTTGAGAAAACTGCCGGACGTACGGACGGACAGATGGACAGACGGACAGACGGACAGACAGACAGACGCGCCTAGGCCGACAATATGGCCCCACACTATGTGGTGGGGACATAAAAACAAATCTATTCTTCACCTACCATCCACTAAGTAGGCACTTACTAGAATGTATTTAACAGACTGACTAGAAGTCAGTCTGAATATAATTCAGACTAAATCACGCCCGGTGCTCGTACAAAATGGATGGAGGGGGGAGTAGGCGATTTCTGCAAGAAAACTCAACAAATTTGGAAGTTTTATTTTTTCAAGAGAAAATTTACAACTGAATTGCCAAATGAATAGGCGCAGTGCATGGCAAAACATGTTAGGTCTTCTAGTATTTCTTTTGAACTGATACGCTTCTAAGATATGAGATCTTTTAAAAAAGGCGCATCATCACTAACGTGCAAAAGTTAATGTTTTTGCTATAAATCAGGCAACGATGGTCTACACGACCTGTAATAAATAGGGATAAGGGACGTTATTATCACAATACTAATGACATTGCTCACTTTTTAAAACTAATTTCCACTAGGGGTCTCGCAATTGCTCGGATTTGCTCGAGCACTCGAGCAATACGCCACGATACTCACCTTGAATATCGGTTAAAAAATTGTATCGTTTTTAACTCCCCAAAACAGCAAAATCATGCTCCAAAGCAGCTTAAATACGATTGTATCTACCCATTGTCCCGTTTCCATTTTGTTATCCGGCTAGCGCAATCCGGCGTAGAATGTATTTCCGGTTTCCGGTAAAAAATGGAGAAAAAGAAAGAAATTCAAATTTCTCGAGAACGTAGTAGAAAGTCCAAAGTTTGGGATTATTTCGGTCATCCTCTTTAAGAAAATGACAATGGTGTTCTCTCTAGGCTTGCACTTAAGTACTTAGTGATTCCAGGAACAAGTGTTCCATCCGAGCGAGTATTTTCAGTTGCAGGAAATATTGTTAGAGCTCAGAAGGCAAGGCGAAGACCTGACAATGTAGACAAGCTTATATTTCTGAAGAAAAACATGAAATAATTCATGTAGCTTAGTCTACATCGTCAGGTTTTAGACTTGCCTTCTGGGTGATGACTGATGTTCATTGATTCATTGTTCATTGATCAGACCATGACCATGGCATAATCATGAGTTGACAGTAGACACTAGTTGACATAAGTTTAAGAAGGACATTAAACTAATAGGTTTCACGTTCAAAGTTCAGCAGTTGACATTTGTCTTGTTAACGTATTTGTTTTTATTAAATAAATTTATTTGTTACGCACTTACATTGCTCGTATCATTTGTATCGTATCGTGAGGTAAATATCGTTGCTCGTATCGAAATTGAAGATACTGTATCGTGGGACCCCTAGTTTCCACGCATTATACAAAAAATAAAGTAAATTAATATTGGATGGAGGGGGGGAGTGGATGGAGGGGGAGTAACATGTATATAAGACATGATAAGACATGTTACTTGAATTTATTCTCTTAACTCCAAATTTTCCAATTCTCCAGAGATATAATATCCAGTTACTTACTTGGGGTACCCTTATGAAAAAACAACCATTTTTCCGAATTTCAATGGTATCATTGCATATCATGTAACCATCATTTCAACCTTGAAGATCAAAGGAAAAATCATTATTTCAACCGTTAAATACCATTGTGCAACCATTACTTCACCCAATCTTTTCAACCCTTTTTACATAAAGTTGCAATGGTCACGCAACCATTTTTGAGAAACCATTGCAAAACCATTACAACCATTACCCATTGAAAAAACAGTTACAATTGATTGCAACCATTAATCCTCAAAATGAACACTCATGGGTAGACGTGTAGCCAGCTTTTGCACTTTTGAAAAATTTCCAAGGGAATTCACATTTAATAAATATGGCCCAAAAAATGGCCAAAATCACTTGAGAAGTGATTAATATGGTGAAAACTGAATTTAAACATTTTTCACTCATTTTTTGCACTTTGAATCAATTTATAACATATTGTGAATCTTTTGGGAGATATTGTATTTGATATTGTAAGGAATGAATTGGTAGGTAAATTATACATGTTGCTTGTAATTTTGTCACCTCCTATAGATCAGAT